GTAGGGAAAAAAGTGGCAAGATTGATACTCCTAAATTTCTCATACAACATTCATTTTGTGGATGAAAATTGTAATTATTACATTTTTTTGTATGCCTGTACAGCACTTTTGTCTCTTACTCACTGTGCCATAGAGGGAAACTGAAGTTAATACCAGGGTAAGAAGAAGACAGGGAGTTGGGCGATGAAAGAAATCAGATTTCGGTAGTTTTGCTGGTCTCAGAACAAGCTGATAATCTTGCAGCTTTCCATTCATATACAAAATATATGCCTACAAACCTTCATTTCTGTTGAATAGAAAATTTTTTTGAACTCTACTGAATTTGTGTAAAAGGAGTTTAACTGAAATGCTGGTTGGAATATATAGGGCATGAAGTTACCTTACATATATATAAATGAAAGTAAAGGAGGTATAGGCAGAGTGAATTGCTTGCTACCAATTGCTAGTATATGTATGCATATGCAAGAAAGGATCTCTAATTCTTAACTTTTCTACTACTATCTTGAATGCAATTGAATCCTTTATGTATTTATTTACTTAAGCTTCACAAAACCATTAGTTACTCAATATAAATTGAAAAATCTTGTATAATATTTTGATTTTGTAGTCTTTCCCTGTGTTGGATATCCATATCCAGCATGAAAACTAGGTGGTGAATGGAGTGGGCTTTGATATTATGAGACCACAAATGGATCGATTATTTTAAGCATAAACTCTGAAGAGCTCCCTTGCAAGTAGTGGCATGCTGTTCCATGGGAGCCTTTTACAAAAAATACTGTAATGGAGAAACGTGTTTTGTATATGCTCACAAGAGACCAGTTAGATTTGATGTTTCTGGTTTTTAGTATGTGCCTTTGAAACTGAAACAGTCATTTAGTAGAACTTAAGGAAAAAAACACCCTTACAGTCATTTCTAATTATTGTGTTTTGCCCATAATATATCCTAGGTATATTGTAGTCTCATATGCTCTTTACTTTTTCTTAGCAGTCATGCCTCGGTATTTGATACAAATTAATTGGCGCGTGCAGCCCAGTGTTCACACACAGCAATAACAACTTGAAGTGCTATCTGATCGAGGAACAAATTATTAAGGATTAACTCACAATTTTGCATGGGTAACAATCAAAGAGAGAAACTACATAAACAGAAGCATTTAATGATCTCTCTCTCTTTTTCAAGAAACTAAAATATGAGGTTGAATTAATTGGCTATTAATGCATTAAAATCTAGAGAATTTAACAGATTAAATGACTGGCTGATTTCAGTGGTATATTTTTCTTTTCTGAATGTTATACCTTATGGCTCTGAGTTACAGCTGCTTTTGCCATTTAGGACAACGTAAACTGCATTAATTTAGACTACATAATTGCATAACCTCCATTTAAAGGTTTGTCTGATTCTGAACATGTAATTTTCCATGGTGTTCAAATGTGTCAATTCCATAACTTTAAATAAATTCCTAAACTTTTTGAGACCAGCAGAAAATTTTTTATTATTATTTTTATTTATAAAAAAAAGGGGGGAAAGGAAAAAAAGGGAAAAAAAAGCTCTTGTTAACATTAATATTGGGTTGGTGGTTCATCATTGCTTTAGATATGGGTTAAAGTGGGTTTGTTGTGTTGAAATTTTCCCAGTTCCAAATAAGTTTAAGTGAAACATGCATAGGTTATACCTCAAGATAGCTTGTGACCCAGCCTGTCTTGAAGATAAGACTTGTGGTCTGGAATTGAGGAAACTTCAGCTCAGGCTAAGGACTTGTTTAATTAGGTTCTTGTTTGGAAACTTTTTTTGTGAAACTCTCATGAAAAACTCAGAGGGTAAATTCCTGGCAACTCTGAAAGCATTTGAGATTTTCATATCAATTTCAGTGCAGAAAAGATTTCAGTTGTTGTTTTATAATGTAGATGGAGAATATATTACAATGTGACTTAAATGAGGTAGTTTGTACTTCAAAAATACATATAAAGGGGCATCCTATAAATAACTTCTCTGACCTCTTGAGACTGCACTGCAGGTAATTTTTACAAATACATCTGAAAGCCAACTTCTCAAAGCTATGTAACATTGCTGATTTCAGCTAGATTTCATAAGGTAGTAAATCAGCATAAACTTGAGATCTCTTTCCATGCCGCTTTTTTAGACGGAGAAATCCATGTATTTTAATACTGTGAAGTACAAAGGACAGAGCTGTAGAAAGCAGTAGTTTAGTCTTCCAAACTAGGCAATGTTCTATTTTTAGTTTATTTTGGCTTTTCAGTCTTTGTTGCCTTATGATTGTTACCTAAAGCTCATGGGTTTCTTGTATTGTTTCAAATTGCTTCTAATTAATGCCTAAAGTAAAATTGCATATCAGTCTAAAGACCATTTTGCATACATTATTTCATTTGTATTTAGGCCTAGCTCACCTTAGAGTATTCTTTTGTCATTCATATCAGTAATCTATATTACCTTGAGTTTCTCAGCAGATTTTAAGGATGTTCACAATCTCACATAAGTATTGAATATTCCTTTAAAATGGTCCTAATTACTTATGTTGTATTTTTAGAGTATCCAATGCCCTATAAAGGATAAATTTCTAGCAAACAGCCATCCCCTTGCTTCTCTCCCAAAATATCTCGTTTTGCCTTTAGTGATATAGGGCTGTGTGTACGAGTTTATTATTAACATAATTTATTTTTTTAATAAGTTCAAAGTATGAATCTCCATGAACTTTGGCAAACTTAGGGTATTATGTCAATAAATGTGGATTTTTTTAGATTTCTGCTAGGTAAAGTCTTCAATAGTAGCTGAAATTTTAATTCTGTAAAATCTGGGATTGCAGGAGTGTTTGATATGCAAAGGTTTCTTTTTTTACCCCACATCCTTGGGTAAAAATCAATCTGAGCAAAATTCTTCCTTGTGTGTTATTGTTAGCCTATATTACATCTGAAATTGTGTTCCCTCTGCTTCTGCCTTTTCAGGGCGTTGGCATAAAAATCTCCTTTGCTGAGCTATCAGAGATGAAAAGCACTAAAAAGCAGGCTAACCTATTAACCCATTTGAACTGTATTTAAACCAACCTAGACAAAGCTGCTGCACCACTTCACGTAGTAGGAAACAAGTCAAGGTTATAGTTCCTCTTCCTTAATAGCCCACAAGTTTTTATAATGCAGGATGTTGAGATAAAAAGTAAAGAGGATGTGTTGTCTGCTAAGTGCTTCATTTTTTTTTTTCTCAGCTGTGAATGCAAACTTGTTACAAACCTGTTTGGAATTAATCTCTGTTTTGTCAGGTAGTTCTTCCTCTGTCAAAGACAGCAGCTGAAATTTGTGTTGTACTGTAACCAAAGTTGTCTTGACAAAATCTTGGTGTATTTGAGACCTGCTCTTGAGCTAGTGCCCAAAGATCGGTGGTGTCCTGCAGTGCAGAACTCTGCTCCGGGACTCTTTGTGGAGCCTGTAATAAAGTATATATCTTTGTTTGTAATACTGAGAGCTGAAATACATTCAGTGACCTAGCTATTTAATTACATGCCTGAGTATTTGAAATTGTGGTGGTTTATAGTCCTAACATAAACTTTGTCCATTTTCTAAAAATTAGGAAAATAATTGCTGGACTCCTGGCCTGGAGACATTGTCATTCAGTTGTGTAAAAGGCCCCTCTT